TCTCTCTCTCTCTCTCTCTCTCTCTCTCTCTCTCTCTCTCTCTCTCTCTCTTCTCTCTCTGGATGTTTCTAGACTCTTCTCCTTTCCTTTGTGATCCAGAATGAATTAATGACATACTTCCATTTTCTAAATCCTTTACAATGCTGAAAATTATCAAATTATCTGAAATTGTTTTTTGATTAGTTCAGTTGACCTTTTGCTGTGGCCAGCATTTGCTGTGGAGGTCAAGGCAGCCCAGGCTGGTCGCCAGTGTGCACCTGTGCCGCAGCTCCTCCAGCGCCCCCACACCTGGATGTTTCCTCATGTCTAACTGTCGTTTGCTCCATCTTGGCTCAGTGTGCCTTTGTCGTCATTGTTGTCCTGAGCCTGGGTGTGCTCTCCTGTCTCAGTCTCCTTCCTTCTTTCCTGTTTTAGGGTGGCAGGAATGGAGGTGCAGCCTCCTCTCATTCTGAGTGCACTCCTGGCCTTCGCTTGATTTGTTACTTGGGGAAAAAGTCTCTGTGTTACCCAGACTGAGCTCCAGTTTACGGTCCCCCTCAGCCTCCCGGGGCCCTGGGCTGAAGCGCACACGGCCACATCCGGCTCCTTCATGCATGCTTTCCCACCGCTAGAACACAGTTCCCGGGAGGCACCCGTTCAAGGGGAAGTTGGGTGTGTACAATGACTTTATCTTCTCTTTAGTCCTAGCCTGGCTAGAACAGAATTCCAGGCGGAAAGTAGCTTCCTTCAGAATGTCCCAGCGCAAGCTCTGCTGGTGCATGCAGGGTGATCCTGACCGTGTCACCAGCCTTGATCAGACACAGCAGAGGCCTCCCAGGCACCCGCACATAGCCAACGTAGCAACACATTTTTGTTTTCTGAACTGTTTATTTTTCTTTCTTTAATTTTTCTCCATCGTACCTTGCCTTGCTTTCCTCCAAGGCTGCTTCTGTCTGCCAGTCTCTCACTTTCCTGTTGGCAGCTCAGCCGACGTCACCCCTCGTCCCAGGTCACTCGGTCAGGGCTGGACACCTGGAAGACCGCAGGCTGTACGCACCACCTGGAGGACACAGAGGTGTCACAAGGGAGATTCCTGTCAGTGTCTTTAAGTCTTTTCTTCCAGAATACTCATTTACACAGAGAAAAGCATCCTCTCCTCCCCAGAGGGTGCAAAGCTGGCTGCAGCTTTGAGGGCAGGCCAAAAGAGGGGCAGGTCTAATTCACCTTTCAGCATGGGTTTCTGTTTGTGTGGTTTGGGGGTTTTTGTGTGTAATCAAAACATAGGTGAATGTTTGAATCAAAAATGTATTACAGTAAAAGACACATTGCCATTAGTGCCCTCAGAATGTCCCTGCTGCCCTAGAGAGCTGTCCTCCCATCATTCACTGGAATCCTCGTTGTGGGCTGGGCGGCTGTCTGCATGTCCCCAGCTGGCTGAAACCGTTAGTTCTCACGGTCACCTTGAGTTTGGGAAGAGCTGAAAGTCGCAGGTGGCAGCTACAGGGAATAAGGGGAAAGACGATGGTGTTTCTGACGGGTCACTGTGCTGGGGTGACATGTGACACTGAGCTCTGTCGAGGATGTGCGTCCTGGACCCCTTTTCCTGGGCTCTGCACATACTCCAGAGAGGCTCTCAGGGCCTCTCAGGGCCCAGAATTCACCACGGTCTTCCTGGGCACACGCACGGCTTGCAGGTTCCATCGACATCAGAAGACCCAGCGGGGTGGGCGACTCCACTGAGAACTCTCACTTTGGTGTCATTACACAGATCCAAGTTTCCCCTACCATGATGATGTTTCTTTATTTTTTTTAATTTTTTTTTTAATTTATTTTGGCTGGCTCAGCCCACTCCTGGCAGGGCTGGCACAGCATGTGGTGCCGGGA